TGACCACAGCCACGTAGAGGATTTTAATGTAAACCATAGCAGATTTTAACCACCCCACCTCGCACCCCATGGCATTCCTAAACAGAGGTACACATTGAAAGAGGTTTATATAAGGATGTACAGACATCCAGCCCATTTGCTCTCTATTACTGTTCCTTCTGGTTTCCCTGCCTCCCACCAGCTCTAAAACCACCAGCATTTGATTTAAAGCAAGGCAGCCGAAACCACAGTGACTTTCTGCTGCTTTTGAGAGTAGGCCAAATGTCTGTGTGCTGCTCTTCAAAAAAAAAGTTTTCAACAAAGCAGATCTCTTTCCTGCAGCCTGAGAAGCAACTGCCCTGGGCCAAGCACGCCTCCAGAGAAGATACAACTCCAGTCAGAGACTCACCTCTTTGGAATGTGGTGTCCCCCCCACGTGATGGCGATGCTATATTTCCCTGGGGTGCTGGGGTAATACTCAAATGCATAGACTCCATCCAGAAAGCCTTTTTGCTTCACCAGCTCTTCCAGACCCTCTGTGGGAAGGAAGCACACCATCTTTGCAATGCAATTCTAGGTTCAGAATGAGAATCAAAAAGACCAGAAAGAGAGCAAGAGAAACAAATCATAAGCCTTATAGGAAAATTAAGTGGGGCTGCCTCAGAGTAATGGGACTCACAAAATTTGGGAGACTTAACTCCAAAGCTGAAAATAGACCTGTATCTATTTCAAAGAGTGGGGAAATGGGAAACTTTGCAGAAAAGTGGCTTTAAGAAACCTCTATTGGTTATGAGGCTCTGAACTTCCTGGGTTTGTACAAAGAGGAATACAGTCAATCTCAATATTTCCCAATGGCCAGAGCCAATTTCTTAAAAAACTGGGGAAGGAAAGTACCCTGTGAGTATTTGGTGTGAGTTTCAGGTTAGGGTTCTGACATATATTTTTCAGCTAAAGCTGGACAATGAAAGTAAGAAAGTCTTATACACTGTCTACAAGTCTTAGATGCTACACCACAAACTCCAGACAGAGCCATCAGGCAGGAACTTGTTTTATGTTGAGCCCTGAGGTTTGGCCTAGAAAGCCACTTAGTCAAGCAAGAATCCAAGGTCAGGAAAAAAAAAAAAAAACACCTCCTTGGCTCCTGTAGCAACAAGTTAGGAGGGAGGGCAGCCCCAGAGCAGCTTGGTTCCAGGTCTGGGCAATCTAGAACCTTGGCTGCCCTTGGGGCATAGCCTGCCCCAAAGTTCAGTGCTCTGAGGTCAAATATTAACTTTCTTGGAGCTCAAAATACTCCTGTCCCAGTCTGCTGGGAAAACACAGAGTAAGAGCAATCCTGGTGCAGGAAGTTTAAGATTCCAAAAGGTACAGTAGTGAAGGCACCAAGAGTTGCCACACTTGCAACTAGAAATACCAAGTTGCTTATCTGCTCCAGCAGAAAACTGGAGAGAGAACAGGACAGTCTTTCCCCAAGTCTGCCATTCCCTTTTCCAAAAAAGGGAGAAAGAATAAGGTGCTAGGCATAACCTACCTCTTCATGAATGGCATTTATCTACAAAGAAAACTTAATCTTAGGGTATTTTATTCTCCTTCTATAAGCAATGATCATAGTAATTAGGTACTTGACATAATTTCATAGTCTATAAAATATAACCTGTAGGGGAAAAATCACTAGCTTGAGAGGTTGTGCTTGAATTCTAGCTCAGATGCTTACATGTGAGTCTGAATAAGACCCTTCCTCTCTGAGTCTAGGTTTCCTCAGATTAAAAAGTGGGTCACTTTAGGTTGTTATCCCAAAGATAGAGTTTCCTCAATTCCATTACATCACAGCTTCTTCTACCCCCAGAAGCTTTAATATAATGTGAGGCTATCAAGCCAAGCCACCACTGTTCTTGCCTACATCCAGGGCAGACATTACTAATCAATCACTATTCCCTTCCCCCTGCAGCCCAGAAAACCTCAAATCTCTGACAGAGTTCTCTGCAATAAATGCAACTGGCCATGGGGTGAAATCCATATGCCATGGCTACACAATTAGCAGAAATCACACTTGACATGGGGGAACAAAGGAACACTTACTAGGACCCTTCACTGTTACACTGAGCTCCCCGCTTCCAGCAGCTTTGGTGTCAACTTTGAAGTCAGCAGTGTCCCGGATGCGAATGCCTTTGGGCTGCAGGCCTCGGCCACTGGCCCGGCAGGCATTTGGACTGCAGGCTGCAAACACAGTTTCAACATCAATTCAACATTTTATTCTGAGTCAGAGTTGAGCAAGCCAAGGTAACTTAAGAGCCACCCGCCAAGAAAATGTTTGCTTTGCACAAAGAGTATGCAACAGTTGCCTGGGACCAGGGGTCTCCTTTAGGGAGCACAACAAGCTAGCAAATAAGGATACAACATAACTTTATCCCCACACACACCACAGGGCTGGGGGAAAGTTACTTGGCAAAAAAAGCAGGGGAGTGCAGGGTTTGTTTGCTGTGCTCCAGGTACAGGCTGAATCCTGGGGTTTATCCTCTCAGGGATGAAGGCGTGAAGACCTAGTGCTGGACATGGTTCAAACCTCATGCCACACTCAAGGGCCCAGTAATTGGGAAGCCTGGACTTTTTCATGTCTACTTGAAAAAATGCCTGACTGGGTTCCAAACTTTGGGTCAACTATTTCTAAAAGTTCAATCTTTGTCTTCTGCATGAAGAACCAGAGGGTAGATAGCCCATAAGGAGACTGGCTCAACCCTACATTGGCCAAGGCAGACAAACATTTTAGAGCTGTTACAAGGTCCTTGGAATGTGGGCATATAAGTACAGCTATTAGCAATTAACACCACTCTCAAATTGACTTCTGGATCTACTTTTAAAAACTAAAGTTGTAAGTCTAGAAATTAAGGACAAAGGCACCTTTCAATATTCCTCAGAAAAGAGTTTCACAAAACCACTATTCTAGGGCCTCTCTGGTGGCGCAAGGGGTTAAGACGCAGCACTATGAAGCTATCCGCAGCCACCACGGCATGAGTTTGATCTCCAGCCAGGTAGCTGACCCACTTGGCGCAGCAGATCTCTCCTGTCTTGCCCGCTGCTCCCCTCAGCAGTGTATTTCAGTACATCTGCCTGTTCTGCTCCCCACTCTGCCTCTGTTGAATCCTTTCACCCTCCGCATCTCTGGCCTGCACCCCAGCACTTATATGCATAAATAAATAAATCTTTAAAATAAAAACAAAACACTGCCTTAAGGGATCTGATAACAGGTTGATAAAAGATATCCTTGTGCCTTAGGAATTCTTTGCCAGCATGGGAATCCTCATAAGTCAGAGAAATATGAGATTAATGGGTAAAATATCATGCTGTTTATTAAATGGTTTTTCTTTTCCAAGTCTGACATTATATTATTTGACCGGTCCCTATACATTAAGGGGTGGAGGCAGCTCATCCTCTAGAGAAATAAAAAAAGATATTCTTTGCTCCAAAGAAGGAAAGTAATTCCTCCTTTGACTCCTCCTCCCTGCAATGTACTCAGCTGGCTGAGAAACAACTACCTCCAAAAGAGACATACACACACCCTTGAAGTTAAGAGACCACTTTATGTGGTTCATGGTGGCACTTTTAAGGCAAAAGACATTGGTTTTCCATTGTGAACATGATATAAAGTTTCTCTTTTGTATAAATCATTTTAGTTGAGGGAGGGTTAGTAGATAATAAGAAAACAGTACAACTGATAGATGGATATGCCAGAAATGAAAAATGTAGACCGTCAATGAAAGGAAGTCAGAATAAGTAAAACTGCTCAAAATGCTTTCTTCTGTCAAAAAGAGTTTATCAATATGCGGGTTTTATTTTTTTTTTCCTGGTCAAGAGAAGAAAACTTGGTCATACCAGAAATAAGTCACAACAGGATGGCAGGACTTCCCGTGCAGAGTTTAAATATGTTTTTTAAAAAACAAACAAATACCTAAGGAGAGTCTGAACAGGAATAATAGTCTTGGCATGAAAAAGAGTAACTAGTCAGTTCATATAAACACTGCATGGAGGTTAATAATTTGGGAGACCCCACTAGATTCTCCACTGTGCTGAGAAATCTTAGAGCTGCTTAAATGTAAAGTGAGAGTGGGTCTGGGGCCTCACTGCACTAGTTGTAACACCTGCACTGCAATTTCCTGAGTTCACAAACAGCACAGACTCTGCTGACTTTTGCAGGCAGCTAGAACTGGCAAAGAAGCCCCACCCTTCCAGCCCTTACCAAGCGAGAGGCCTCTGGCCCAGTGTTTTCAACTAGGAAGCCAACAGCTTTGTGGTCCAGGCTGGCCCAGAGGCAGGATTCAGGAGAAGAAGCCAGGTCTGCAGACGCAGATGCAGAGGACAGAACAGGGAAAGGCAAGCATTGGTTAGAAAAGGCGGTAGAGTTGGAGGGGGAAAAAAAAGAGCAACAAAGTCAGAAGGAAAAAGAATAACACATGCTTCTGGCTGCAGAGGGAGTGTAGAGCATGGTCATAGGGTCAACAGAGATCTGGGTCCACTCCTACTGAGGCCTAGCCTTACTGATACCATACATTACCTAAGTCTCAGTATCTCCATCTGCAACCTAGGTATAATAATCACAGGCTGGTGTGATAGTAGATGCAGTCTGGCTAAGAAAAGACTGAGCAGTGATGCTGCAGGGTGCCAGCAACGCAACTGCTGCTAACCTCAACCACAGACGCTGGCCTCTCAGTGAGGATCGTGATGCTTCTGAATGAGAGTTTGGGAAGGATTAAATAAGTTCATTAAGAAAAGCACTTAGGTCACTGCACTGCTCACAGGAAGGGATCAGTATTGATGTCTTGAGAGTAAGATAAGCCACTGCCCACAGAAGGAACCCTGGTAGAAAGGAGACAAGAGTGAGGTCAGTGTTGAATCCTGACTACTCTGGTCTCAGAATTCAGCTGTGCACAGTCAGTCCCAATGCTGGAAGCAGATCTAGTCAGACAATCAGCACTTACCTTCCCCAACCTGTACAAGGAAGGGACTCTTAGGAATGGTGTCCCCAGCAAAAGAGACCTTGACCACATGGGGGCCAGGTTGCACTGGTTTGTATACACATCGATACATCTGGTTTCCTTTGTCTTCCACAAGCAATTCCAAGGTGTTCTTCCCCTGGGGATCTTCCACCTCAACAATAATATCACCCACACCAGCGCCTATGAGAAAGCAAACATCCCAGGAGCCCAAGTTACCTTCTCAGAAAGCTCACAGTTGGTGAGTACAAAAGCAGATACAAAGCTCACACTGCAGGTGACAGGGAGGCACATGGAGGGGCAGGGGAATTAGGAATTATGGTTGAACTCTCCTATTCCCCCCAATTCTAAATTTTCTACATTGCAAAGCTGATTAATTCAAGAATAGTGTCTTTTTTTGGTCCTTTTATTCTCTCCTATAGGATCTAGACAGACTTCTGTCTAGTAGATGATTCTTTTTATTAAAAATTTTATTACAGTAACATTGGTTTATAACATTATATAGGTTTCAGGTGTATAGCAATATATTCAAACATCTGTACATATTATGTTATAATCACCACTAAAAGTCTAGTTTCCAAGTAGATGGCTCTTAAAACTTAATTTCTTTGGAACATTTTAAATTGTCAGAAATGAACACAGAAATTGACTGATTATTAATAATTAAAGCCAAGCCTGAATTAAAGATTTTAAAGAAGAAAAGCTAGTTTTAAAAAATCTAAAAATAGAATCAACACATATGAAAAGGCTCTTTTTGTTTCTGGTTGTTTGATTTAAAAAACACAAGCTCAGGCCTCCCTGGTGGCGCAAGAGGTTAAGCACCACACTATGAAGCAATCCACAGCTGCTGCAGCACAAGTTTGATCACCAGGTGGCCAGGGGGCAACCCACATGGCGAGGCAGACCTCTCCTGTCTCCCCGCTGCTCCCCTCAGCAGTGTATTTCAGTCAATCTGCCTGTTCTGTTCCCCACTCTCTCTAGTGAATCCTCTCACCCCCTGCATCTCTGGCCTGTACCTTCCAGCTCTTGTATGCATAAATAAATAAATCTTTAAAAACAAACAAACAAACAAAAAAACACAAGCTCAGGCATCCCAAGCTTTTGGGGTCCTAAGGATTATCTCAAGCTTTGGAAGAAGGCCTGACCCATGAAGGAGAGGCACCGCACCTGCTGTGTAGATGTCAAAGTAGGTAGGCTTATTGGCAATGTTCCCTGCAGCTTCCAAGCCCGGGCCCTTCGCAGTGACTTTACTGGCATCACCTTGGGCCTTGTCAACATTCACTTCAAATGGGCTCTTGGAGATGTGCTGTCCCGCAAAGAGGACTGTGACCTGCAAATGACAAACATGTGAAAGATAATCACCTCTTGCCCAGCAAGACTACCATGTCAAACTACATACATTGGTAAGCTTTTCCATCTTCTCGATTATCAACACAAGTGTGTCTGGAAGCCCCTGGTTGAATGGCCCGAATGGGACTCCCACCTTGCTCCATCAGTCATTCTACTGGGTCTGGAATATCCTGAAAGTCAGATGTGTTTAACCTCTTAGCAAAACAGGAACAAATACTATACTTGAATCTCTAGACATTGGACCCTTTCAGGGAGCTGCAGAAGGGGAGCCACTGTTCTCCAGAATATAATGCACAGTTTCAGGATTGCAAATCCAGGGTTAAAGCATTTTCAAGGAACCAAGATCAATCTCAGCTACATGGATTTGAGACACTGCACAGATTTCTACCTACAACTTGAGTAGAGTTCTTTCAAATTTTAAGGCATATTAGGCTGGATTTCACATGAATGGAATAAATTAATTACATCATGAATGCTCTCCTCAAGAATTATTTCCCCTCAAATTCATGATGTTCTAATGGGTATAAGAGAAACTAAGGCTATGCCAGATGAATGCACTAAAGCCCAAGATGGTGAGAATATTCTTATCTTAAAATCTTGACATGGTACAGGGATTGGCCCATATGTGCTATTAAAGGCTTTTTTTTTCCCCTATGAAGGGGACATTTCTGGAACCCACCACTCTCCCGCAAGACTCCCTTACCCATGGACCTCCAGGTCACTAGATGGCAACTCAAAGAGAATGTAAATACTACTAATAGGAGGGACTCTAGGCTGGAGCCTACATATTTCTCCATGTTCATGAGTGGGCCACTGGCCTCCACTATGTTAACTAGCCTCATACTCGGGCTTCAATGCTGACAGACCCTCCAGAGCACCTCAATCGTGAAGACTTAGGAGAAGAATTAAAGACAAAGAGTGCATTGTTTAGCATCTATATTATAAGCATGTAGTTACAACCATTTGTTACCTCAGTGGAGCTAGAAAAATTTATGATATTGCAAAGAACTTAATTTAACCAATTGACTAGAATTCAATCAATCTGGATATATTAGCTAGTATATCAAGTCTGATTTGCAGTAAACCCCACATTTTCTTTGATAAGCATGAATTCTTTTCATAATCAGAAAGGAAAATGAAACATTAACTTAAGAAAATCACTCTTTTTCCTAAGATATCCTTTTTCCACATAAGTCCAGAAAAGCAATCCAAACAACGGCCAGGAAGCCTCATCTTACTTTGTGCAGCCCAGTGACCTTTGGCTGATATTCCACAGAGTACGTCTTGTTCTTATCACTGTCAGGGGTCACACGTGCCTACGACAAAAGATGAGCAACATTATAAAAGGTGCTGGGCATGGGCCTCCCCAGTGGAGCAGAGGTTGAGCGCTGGGTTGCAAAGCTGCCCGCAGCCTCTGCAGTGCCGGTTCAATCCCCGGCTGCTCCCCGGCCACTGTAGGAGGGTCCCACATGGCACGCAGACCTCTCCTGCCGCCCGCTGCTCCCCTCAGCAGTGCACTTCGGTCCTTCTGCCTGCTCTGCTCCCAGCTCTGGCTCTGGTGAATTCTCTCACCCTCCCGCGCTTCTGACTGTACCCAGTGTTTGTATACATAAATAAATAAATAAAATAAATAAATAAATAAAAATCTTTAAAAAAATAAAATAAAAGGTGCTGGGCATAAGTAAAGACCACACTATGTCAACCAAGGTTCCGCAGCAAGCAGCCAGGTGGGTCAGGAACCCTGAAGGTGCTGGCTATTTCCTGCCCCATACTCCTCTCAGGAGAGAAGCAACCTCAAGTCACAGACATAAAATCACCTAACACAAAGGTATAACCAGGTCTCCACTGTCTCAGGGCTAGAACTCTGTAGACAAGAGAGAATATGAGGCAATTTAAACCTTTATTGGCTTAAGTAGTTTCTCAAAGTTTAAGAAATGCCAGGTCCAGCGGCATGCACCAAAAATAAAACAAGAAGCAAACCAAGTACAATCCCTGCCCCCCAGGGGAAATGAAAAATATGCCAGCAAACTTAAGAGTTCAGATGGTGATAAGCACTAGGAATAAAATATAAGTGAACAGCAAGAACAGCATGTGCAAAAGCACTGAGAGAGGTACCAAAAAATGGCTAGAGTGGGAAAAGAATAGGGCAAGAATCACTTATTCTTCTGGCAAAAACTTCAACTCATAGGACTTTGCTAAATTCAAACTATACTTTCTTTTATCAAACATCATGGCCTTGGGTATCAATTTTATTATTTCTCAAAGCACAGTCCTTGGGCAGTCACTTTAACTACTGTAATCCTCAGCATTCTTTTGTTTAAAAAAGTTTTGGTGTGAGTGTTAATGAGGAAAATGGAGCCACAGTCTCTGGTTTTGTTACGAGCCCCCAAAACTCCATGTGATGCTGGCAGGGGTGGCAGCTCTCTCCAACATACCTCCTCTTTGTTGCCTTCAGGGTCTTCCACAAATACCATCACATCTCCTTGCCCAGCACTGATGGTGTCCACGGTGAACTTGGCTGGCTGCTTCACCATGTTTCCAGTGGGCTCGATTCCTGTCACGGATTCACACAAGCATTACAAGCTGGACCAGATCCCTAGATAAGCCGCTGCCCACCATGTTGTCTCTTTTGAGGAACTTAGAAATGGGACACAGCCCTGCGGCCACCATGTGGGACACAGGCACAGACTGCCATGACAAGGCTGATCCAACAGGTGGGATTTTGTCTTTGTTATTTAAGCAACACACAATTATGATATATTCAGAGAAATTCAGTCAGAAGTCCATACAATTGTAAAGAACTATGGAGAATCTAGCAGTGGGGCTTGCCTTGGGGGAGGTGACATGGAGGGAGAGGAATGAGGTGCAGGAGATGGCTCGTTTTTCATTAAAGGACATTTGGTACTATTTAAGATGTCTACAAAATTTATTCAGTTTTTTTTTGTTAAACTTTTTATTCTGAGATCATTGAGCACATTTCAGAGCTAGATTTATAGATGTGTAATAATAACTTTTTATCCAGTTCCCCACATAGTTACAGCATGTAAAACTTGAGTACAATGACAGGATACAGAACATTTCCATCCCCACGGGGATACCTCAGAGTGTCCCTCTGTAGCCATCCTTATTTCCCTCCAATTCCACTTCTCTTTACCCCTGATAACTAATAATCTCTTCATCTCTATAATTTTATCATCTGCAGAATGTTAGATAAATAGAATCACTCATTATATAACCTTTTGGGCTTGGCTTTTTCCGATAAATATAATTCTTTATAGATCCATACAGGTTGTTGTCTATGTCAATAGTTCTTTTTGTTACTGAGTAATATTTCATGATATGAATGTACTAGTTTGTTTAACCATTCACCCATGGAAGGACATCTGGGTTGCCTCCAGTTGTGTATTACAGAGAAAGCCGCTATAAACATTTATGCACAGGTTTGGGTAGGATAAACGCCCAGGTGCAGTTGCCAGGTACCATGGTTGGATTCTATTTAAGAAACTGCCAAACTGGGCCTCCCTGGTGGCACAAGGGGTTAAGCACAGCACTATGAAGCTATCTGCAGCCACTGCAACATGAGTTCCATCCCCTGGCCGGCCAGGGAGCTACCCACATGGCACAGCAGTCCTCTCCTGACTCGCCCACTGCTCCCCTCAGCAGTTTATTTCAGTCAGTCTGCCTGTTCTGTTCCCCACTCTGTCTCTGGTGAATCCTCTCACCCCCCGCACCTCTGGCCTGTATCGCAGTTCTTGTATGCACAAATAAATAAATCTTAAAAAAAAAAAAGAAAAAGAAACTGCCAAACTGTTTTCTGGAGTGACTCTGTCCACTGGCAATGTATGAGTGATTCAGACCCAGTTTCTCTGCATCCTTGCCAGCAGTTGGTGTTACCATCACTTTTAATTTTAGCCATTCTCAAATATGTGTAGTGGTTTTTTCAATATGCATTTCTCTAACAGTCAATGACATGGAATTTTTTTTCATGTGTTTCTTTGCCATTTGTATATCTTCTTCATGTCTTCTGCCTATTTTCTAAATGGACTGTTTGGGTTTTGCTTGCTTTTTCAACTATTGAATTTGGAGAGTTCTTTATATATTCTAGGTAATAGAGCTTTGCTGGATATGTGGTGTCCAAATATTTTCTCCCAGTCTCCAGCTTGACTTTTCATCCTATTAAGTGCAAGTTTTTTTTTTGTTTTTTTTTTTTTTTAAAGTAAAATCTCGTCCCCAAACCCTTCCACTACCCAGAAATATTTTGAGTTCTGATTGAGATGGTATCCGGGTAGCCAGTCGGGTAGAAGGCCAAGGGACCCTGTCTTGCAGGAGAGCTGGGTGATCTAAAAGTGCAATCTGCACTGAGAGAAAGTCCTCAACAGCCCACACAGGCCAGTCCTTGTATAGCTTGCATACCACGCCAAGGTACAGATCATAGTTTTTAGCTTTAACAAAATCAGCTTCTCATCCTTTCCTTTTATGGATCATGCTTTTGGTGTCAATTTGAAGAACTCCTTTGCCTAGTACTAGATCCCAAAGATTCTTCTCTATGTTTCCATTCTGAAAATTTTATAGTTAGATGTTATACATTTAAGCCTGTGATCAATTTTTATCTAATTTTTACATGAAGAGAGAGAGTTCTGGGGCCTCCCTGGTGGTGCAAGGGGTTAAGCCACAGCACTGAAGCAATCCACAGCTACTGCAACACGAGTTCGATCCCCAGCCAGGGAGGTGACCCACATGGCACGGCAGACCTCTCTTGACTCACCCACTGCTCCCCTCAGCAGTATATTTCAGTCAATCTGCCTGTTCCGTCTGTCTCTGGTGAAACCTTTCACCACCCCCACCTCTGGCGTTTACCCCAGTTCCTGTATGCATAAACAAGTAACTCTTTAAAAAAAATAATAAAGAGAGAGAGTTTTTTTTTTCCTTTTTCTTTTTTTGGCTTATGTGTTGAACGGGCTCTCTTTCTTCCATTGAACGGCTTCTGCACTTTTGTCAAGGCTCACTTGTGCCTATTTGTGTAATTTTCTTTCTACATCATGGTGGTGGCAGAGGCTTCTTATCTGTTGTGAAAGTTTAGATTCCCCATTTGGTCTTTAATGGTATACATGGGGGGTGAGGGTCACAGTTTTTTTCTGTGGCATTTGGCTGGAGTAGAGAAGTTATTGTCTTAAAGTGTTCTGCCTTGCTAGGCTGCCCTTTCCTGGTCTTTTGATCAGGGAGCAGGCTCTGATTGGGACTTTGTGTTGGTGTATCCACTGGCATTTCCAGGTTATCACTTTCTTCAGCTCCAAGTCTGGGATACATGAAGCAAAAATCAACCCAACAACTCTCTACTGTTTCAGTCCTTGGGTCCTGAGGCCCTTGGCTACTATGCCTTATTTTTCTTTTTTCTTTTTTTTTAAAGATTTTTTTTAAATTAATTTATTTATTTATGCAAGCACTGGGTACAGTCAGAAGCGCGGGAGGGTGAGAGAATTCACCAGAGCCAGAGTGGGGAGCAGAGCAGGCAGAAGGACCGAAATACACTGCTGAGGGGAGCAGCGGGTGGCAGGAGAGGTCTGCGCGCCATGTGGGACCCTCCTTCGGTGGCCGGGGAGCAGCCGGGGATCGAACCGGCGCTGCAAAGGCTGTGGGCAGCTTCGCAACCCAGCGCTCAACCGTTGCACCACTGGGGAGGCCCTACTATGCCTTATTTTTCAATAACCCTATGTTTGTCCTGTATAAGATATCCAGGGATTTCAACTGTACTCAGCAGGAAGAATTAGGCAAAGTGTTTTGACTTTAAGTTCCCAGAAGCAAAAGTTTAAGTACAGACAGTCCACTACTTAAAATGGCTTGATTGACAGATTTTTGACTTTATGATGAAACAAAAGTGTTTTGCATTCAGTAGGAATTGCATTTTGAATTTGAAGTCAGGGCATTCTGTTTTCTCACTCTTAGTATAGTTTTCAATATATTACATGAGATATTCAACTTTATAAAATGTTCTTTGTATAAGATGATTTTGCCAACTGAGCAAGTTTAAGTAGGGTTACACTAAGTTAGGTAAGTTAAATATGTTAAATGCATTTTCAACTTAACGATATTTTCAACTTATAATGAGTTTATCAGGACACATCCACATTTAAGTTGGTGAAGAATGATATTTCTTTTTCTTTTTTTTGAAGATTTATTTATTTATGCATACAAGAGCCAGGGTACAGGCCAGAGTTGCGGGGGAGTGAAAGGATCCACCAGAGACAGAGTGGGGAACAGAATAGGCAGACTGACTGAAAGACACTGCTGAGGGGAGCAGCAGGCAACTCAGGAAAGGTCTGCTATGCCATGTGGGTAGCTCCGTGGCAGGGAATCAAACTCATGCTTCAGAGGCTGAGGATTGCTTCATAGTGTGGTGCTTAACCCCTTGTGCCACCAGGGAGGCCCTGCTATTGCTTTTTCTTAAAAATATTTTATCATCTAGAATTCCAGACCCACACAGACATCTACCTATCACCTTGCTTTAACAACTATCACCTCAAGGCCTGTCCTGTTTCACACCTTTACTCCCACCTCTTCTCCAGTTTTATTTTGATACAAATCAATTCCTCATATTTTTCATTCATAAATATTCACTATGTATCATCAAAAGACTTTTCAGAACATACACATCAAAAAATTAACAATTCTGTAAATGCCATCGAATAGTCAGACAGTATTTAAATTTCAAATTATTAGTGCCTTTATTTATATCAGTTTAAATAGGAACCAAACTAGGTTTACATAACAAGTTACAACTGGTTGCTAAGTCTGTGTCAGGTGGCTTCAACCACATGTCAAAAACAGAGAAACAAAGAATCAGACAAAACCAAACCCTAGAAATCTGAACATAGAATTGAGGTTTCCAGAGAGGTGGGGTGAGGGTGGAGAGCAAAAAGGACCCAGTGACTCTGGTGGAGGACTATGAGTACCTGGGTAGTGGGTGTGGTGACATACATCTGAAGAGGTGTGATCCTAAAGCTCTGAATCATATAGTGTTGTAAACAAGATTACTGCAATTAAAAAAAAAAAGTCTGTGAATCTCATTTAATCTCTAGGTTTCTCTCTCCATCTCTTCTTTGCTTTGTCATTTGCTGGGTCACTTGCTGCTATATTCTGCATTTGTATTAGTTTTTCAATAGATAATTCAGTTTAAGAAAAACAGGTGATAGATTGCTATATAACACAATAATGTTCACACAGTTGGATAAGAAATGCAAATTAATAAAAATACCTAGTTTCTTTCAGCATGAAAAAAAGGCTGGAAAGAAAATCCTCAGGCGCTAAAGGAAGAAATGGGGATTGGCAGTTGAAAAGTGAGACTTTCTGTTTTTATTTTCTACATGTTCCATTTGCTTAAAACTTACATAACGATCAAGCCAATTAACAAACATAATTGCCTACTCACAAATGCCTACTCTACCTGGCTCCAAGAGCCTGAGAAACAACTTAATCTGTAGCTTACCCAAGCCCCAGGCTAGATCTCATCTACCTGGCTAAGTATGTATGGCTGGTTAGGAGGCCGAATCGCATTCCATACTCTGTAAACTCCCCTGGATCTACGCTTTTGCAGAGACAACTGATCCCTGACATTACTCTGAAGGAAGGATGCATCAGGCTTGCTATGCAGTACAGTACACACACCTTGGGAAAGGTTTCTGTTCAGCTCATGGATGAATGTGTTCGACATACCTAACCCTGCAAACGAGCCCACCACAAAGACCTGCTCATGGCTTTAGATTTGTTTCCCTCACCCCTGCCCAGTCTCCTTTCAACCCACTGGACTAAGCAAGACAGGGCTTCAGGAATGACTCTGCAAGTACCTACTAGCTAGTAATTACAATCCAGTTCACACTGAAAAATAAAGTGTTCAACCCTTTTACAAACTAATGTTCTCTCTTCCTCTATTTAGTTGACAGAAATGAAGCAATATGGCCACACAAAACAGAAAGAACATGTCCCTGTTGTCTCATCACAGAACAAGAATAATATCTTAAAGTATGTCCCTGTGGCCTCACGAGTGATCTTGTTGCCTAAAAATGACTATTACACCTTCCTATTTAAGAAAGAAAAAAAGATTAAACATAGAATTATCATAGGATCCAGCAATTCCACTTGCAGGTACTTGTATACTCTTGTTCATAGCAGCGTTATTCACAACAGCTAAAAGGTAGAAGCAACCCAAATGTCCATTGACAGAAGAATGAATAAACAAAATTTGGTGTATATATATACAATGCAATATTGTTCAGTTCTTAAAAAGGAATGAAATTTTAATGCATAGAACAATCCAATGAACTTTGAAGATATTATGCTAAGTGATGTAAGTAGACACAAAAGAACAAATATTGTATGATTTCATCTATATAAGGTGCCTAGAATAGGCAAAGTCATAGAAAGTGGAATGGTGGCCGCCAGGGCCTGGGGGCATGGGACAAATGGAGATTTATTGTTCAGTGGACACAGTTTCAATTTGGGAAGATGAAAAAAGTTCTTGAGATGGATAACAGTGAGGGTCATACAACATGGTGAAGTACTTAATGTCAACAAATGGCACCATTAAGTGGTTAAAATTGTGACTTTTGTATTATGCATATTTTACCACAACAAAAAAATGCAAATGCAAATATACATAATTATGCATACTTGCATACATATACTTGTGTACATACATATAAGGAAAAAAAAAGGTGTGTGCCCCAAATGGCACAATCTTATAAAAAAGGCAGATGAAGGAAATGACAATGACTAGGCCACATTCCTGAACTGTAGCAAGTGGTCATTTTTTAGAAAAAACACCATGAAAGGAAACCATGTCACACTAACAATGGGGAAATGGACAGTCAGTGATAAGATTACTGCAAACAAACATCTTATGTCTTGATTATATTTAATCCATTTCACTGATTTTGTTAACGAGAGATTTCTTTGGCTCTTTGAAGCTTTTTTTGCCACTAAGGAAGTATAACTTTTAGAGATTCCTTATTCCATCCACCACCTCTGGCATGGCTTAGAGAAAGCAAGCATAGACAGGCCAACCTTTAAGTGACAGCAAATGAGTCCCCAGTCCCTACGTAACACAAATAATTGCACAGACCACACCTCATTGCCAAGGAAACCTCAAATGGCAAGTGGGTTTGTTCCAGAACTGTCAGGTTCTCTCTATTGGTCTAAGTCACGCTAAAAGGACAGAGGACCTGGTCACCAAGATTGAGAATGGCACATGATCAGCACCACTGTCCTGGTTTGCATTACTTAAGACGACACCACATAAAGCAATGCTGTCTTCAAAGGCAATGAGTGTACAGAGCATTCTATAAGGCTGAGAGCTCTGGACTCCACAAAAAGTCAATTTCATTTTAAAAAACTGGGGAATTATTCAAGATTAAAAGAATCTAAAGAGAAACAACAAATATATGTGATAAGTGAATCTTAATCAACTCTTGATTTGTGAAACAACAAAAACTATAAAAGACAATTTTAGGAAAATAGGGAAAACTAAATATGAACTGGTTATTAGCTGATAAAAATTATTGTCTTATGTGGGCTAATGAGTACTGTGCTAAATGCTCCCATTCTTAGGAGGAACTTGTTGATATATTAAGGAATGAACTGTCACCATACCTGCAGCTAATTTTCAAATAATTTAATAATCCTCTCTCTCTCTCCCTCTCTCTCTCTCACACACACACACACCATACACACATACACACATACACACAACAGTGCAAGAAAAAAACTCTTAAAACAGTAGAACTGCTGATTCTCAGAGAGGATCTGCAAAATGTTTTGTGTGTCTAAATATTATCCTAATTGTAATTATGAAAATTAAGAAATAAAATGCACTCTCTCCCCTCCACATAGGGTATGAGTTATATCTCATGCTAATCTTTACCAGAAGCCACGCTAAGCTGAAATGTAACAATTCTCCTTACAAACCTAGTGTGCTAGAAATCAGGTACCATTCAGAACACCAAATGCTTCAAAATGCCCTCCACCTAGCATATAGTTCAGTGTCTCTCAGCTGCCTTGGAGATCATAAACAGGATGTCTTAGCAAGGAAGTGTGTGCCAGGGGTTAACAATAGTTCCCACCCCATCTGGAAAAGTGAGGCAGCTGTGCATAACCAAAGGAAAATGAATCAGCAGCCAGATGACCCAGGCTCCTGCCCCACTCCCACTGCTGACTGTGGGGATCTAGGCTGAGACCCTGTGTAAAACAGGCTTCTGGTTCTCATCTGAAAAATGGGAACAGTAGCCTTTTCATCATTCCAAGATTACTCAACTAAAATCTCATCATTGGCCATAACATTAAAAGTAGCAAACTCATCATTGGCCATAACATTAAAACAGCAGTATTCCTTAAAGTCTTAGATATCTAAGGCAGGATAAGATGGTCATAAATGTTTTATACAAACATTTTAGGTAAAATACATATGACTAAGGAGGCCGGGGTGTCTCTAAGGATTAAATGTACACATTCTCGAGTCTAAGAACCTTTCTCCTGAAGTCATATAATATTCTGCAGGACAAGAGGGCAAGCCTCAAATCCAACATGTCTAGCACTTACCTCTGCCATAGGCCCTGGCTTTCTTCGGGTTGAGCTTGGGTTTAAGAGGAGCCCCTGGCTTGAGCTTGGCTTTGGGGAACTGGGACAGGTAAGTCATCACCGAGTGTTCATCCACATCTGGGTGAATAATTTCTTCAGGAGTGATGACCTAGAATAACAACAAGGTACATGAACACCAGAACACATCACTTTGCAACTAGTCAAGTTTTTGTAAAATGTTTCTTAAGCCAGATAATACAAATATTAAATAACTGAGTCAGCTTCTCAATTAAGTGAAGTTACATTAAATTGGCACACTAAGATCTGTGTCTTTAACTTTTAGAGGTATCACCATTGCCTTTAGAAGCAGAGGACTGTCTTCAGGCAATTCTGTATGTAAGTTCTAGAAGGTCCCAGGATAAAAGTTATATCAAGCAAAGAGGAAGAAACAAGTAGACATGGGATTCCAGCATAATACAAGAAGGAACATAGATAAACCAGCCTTTTTCTTTACTCATCTATCCAATGTCGATATTTGTCAACTCACCTACTAATAAAAACAGACAGACAGACAATGTGGTAACATATTAGGTATGTGGTCTTGTTGCACACCGAATAGTTGTGTCCTCCCCAAATCCATACATTGAAGCCCTAATCCCAGTATTAGGAGGTGTGGCCTTTGGGAGGTAAGTTTAAATGCAGTCACAATGAGATTAGCCCTGTAAAAAGTCGATGATCAGAGCTGTGAGGACAGAGAGAGAAGGTGGACAGCCTTCTCCTGTTTCTGTCTACAAGTCAGAAGAAGGCCCTCACCAGAATCCAGTTCTACCTGCCACTGGACCTTGGACTTCTCAGGCTCAAGTACTGAGAAATCAGTGTCTCTTGTTTGAGTCAACCCATCTATGGTATTTTGGTAAGGCAGTTTGAGCTAAGGTAGGTTTCAATACATTAGAAGCCATTTCTTAAAGTGGGGAGGGCATGAATTTCTCCTGACATTCAGCTAAGAAGCAGGAATATTCGTCCAGTTACGTATAATCCATGCTGGACAGATGACCTCCCTGAAGGTATCATAGCCTCCCTCCTATTACCTGACCCTAAAAAAAAACACCACAGAAAAAACCCTCCTGCTCCTCATCCCTCCAACAAAGAAGCCAAGACTCCAAGTCACACCTCAGACACACAGAAAGCTCTGTCTCATGAACAAGGTTAACCAAATGTAGATGAACAACAGATGTACCCAGCTTTCCTCACCCTGTGGTAAAAAGCACCAGAAAACACTTGCATGATTAGCCTGCAGCAACAAAATAGCTGCTGGGTTTCAACGGTGGCCTTTAATGTGTTCCATAAAATGTAGGATATACGTTGATTTGGTCTTTCTTCCAGGCAGCTCCTTCAACAACTTTATAGTGCCAACATTACATGAACGTCAAAAGGAGATGGTTTTAGGTTCAAGAGAAGATGAAAAACATACCACACCACTTCCTGAGGATGGAAGACTCAAGAAACGGGCCATGAAGCAGAGACATGATGCCAAAACCAAACCAAAAAAACATAGACAAGGCTCTTTAAAACAAAAAAACAGAAAGAAAGAAAACCTCTCCAGGGATTCTTTTACAAAATACCCTGAACTCAGCTCTGAATACCAACCCTTACTGGAGTGTGCAGTAAGGACACCCATTCCATGGCCTTGGTTACCCACAACTCTCTTGACCAGGGCTTTGAACAAGGAAGACAGGGGAAGTTTTTTTAGACAATTTGGAAGGGCTTAGAAGACTGGACCTCAACTAAACAATGTGGCTACTGCAGATGATATCCAAGACTTACTCAATTTCCAAGTCCTCTTGTTAGATTCCTGCAGTAGGATTATGGGCAATACAAATTCTTCTACAATTTCCATTAATGGTAGGTTATCCTGTTTTCAATTTTCTTTTTTTTAGTTCTAAGTCCAGTGACTTTCCTTAAGACATTGGATTTTTTTCAACATTTAAATAGGTTAAAAAGTAGTCAAATAATGGCAATTTCTTATAGTTCCACCTAGTCACTAAGGTTCTCATTAACACGCCCTAATCTTAGAGATCTTTGGTACAAAAATATCAGAAAGTTCCCCAGATGTGATAAAGAATAAAGATTTTGGGCTGATTTACCAGTACCTAAGTCAATGAGAACCTATTATTATAGGTAAACTGAGGGAGAAGAGAGAGAGTGCCACAGGCAGTGCTCTCAGGAAGCTGGCACCAAGGAGGTCAGACAGCCTGGCAGACTCAAAGAGGCACCCAAAGAGTGGAAAGAGCCTTGGCAAGGACAAGCTGGAGCGTGGAAAGAGCCTTGGCATGACATGGCAAGCTTATGCATATACCTGGGGGACACCCAGCCAGTCGTCGGCCTGCTGCATGGCTTCTCGTGCATTATCCACAGGCTTTCGTGGATCCCAGGATTCCCAGTCTGGGCACAAACCTGTTAACATAAGACATAACACAAGATGCTCTTAGCAGGAGCTGACAGAAGAAATTAAAGGAAGTCTTGTGCCTAAACTAAACCCACTTGGTCTCTTAATTCAGAGAACAATTTCTTCCAAAAATCTTAGTGAATTATATACTTTACGGTCAAAAAGTACCATGGATATGAGTATGCCAAGGTGGCAACTATTCTGAGACATCTCCTTCAGGTTGTTTATCTTCTTGCATCAAGGAATTATCCACTCCTTAAAGATAGGGTATCAGTATATAAGCAAAGCTTATAAAATTGTCCGGGCCTGGTACCATTTTATAGGAGAGATTTTTTCTTACTTATCACACTCATACTTCTGTACTCTAGTCACCAAATACATAGGGTTGAGAACAGCTGGGTGTCATATAATTTAACTCAGTTCTGACACTTTCTTCCTGGACTAACAAAGATGGCAGGTTAAGGATTCAGTCCCATAAGGCCCTATTTCATAGATCAGTCATGAGTCCAGGTTGTCACCTGTGCTACTGATCTACTGGTTATAGATTGAAGATTCCCACACACACCCCCCCTCCAACTCAGGTTGGATCACTTGTTATAGTGGGTCACAGAACTCAGGAAAATACTTTACTTACTGGATTATTAGCTTATTGCAAAAAGATACAATGAGAACAGAAATACACAAGGAAAGGTATAGAAGAAGGGACAAGCCCTCTCCAGACACATCACCCCACCAGGACCTCCACATGTCAACCAATCTGGAAACTCCTAGAATCACTGAGGGATTTTTATGGAGGCTCCATTATATGTGCATGGTTGATTGAATCATTGGTTGCTGATGATTAGCTCAACCTCCAGTCCCTTTCCCCTCCTTGAGGTCAGAAGATGGGGCTGAAAGTTCCAAGAGTCTCTAATCATGTAGTTAGCTCCCCTAGGGAACAGTCCCCATCCTGAGGGGCTTCCCAAAAGTCACTTCATTAACACAACCTCAGGTGTGGATGAAAGAGGTCAGCTGTGAATACCAAAAGCACCTCTACCATTGCTTCTACCACTTAGGGATTTCCAAGCATTTTAGGAGCTCTGTGCCAGGAAAGCCTAAATATATATAATACATACACACATACATATTATAAGTCACAGTGTGACAACCCTTTCCCTGAATATATCTAAAAAGGCTGGCCGAGCAACTGTATAACTAAAAAAAATTCACTTATTCAAATGTCAAAACCTACAATTAACTTTAAAAACTTTCTAAGCACAAGAAATACAAGACTAGAGTAAAAATCTCCAGGTTTAAACTAGAAATAGGTAAACTAAAATGTGTCTGTGGATGGAAGCAAGGAAGTGGGCACTGAGAAATGAACTCTTGCTGCTGAGCTGTGGGTTATTTCTGCATGACGCCAGCTTCTAGGCTCTCAAGGAAGAATGGAGACCCAGTCAGCCCTCTTCCCAAGCCAACCGACACTGGCTAGTTCTGCTTTGAGCATGTTGAGAACCACTAGCTTACTGAATACAAATGTACCCAGCACACACAGATCACGCAGTAAATGGAGAATATGACCATTAGAGCTTACTTTTTATTAAAAACAATTTTGGGGTGCATATAAACACAGGCTTGGGTTTTTCTACTGAGCATATACCAGCAAACTACCCATCAATCTAAACATTCAGGAAGGATAATTACTACCTTGGTATACACTCAACTACACGTAGAGGAGCCCATGAGGGTAGAAGACTCCAACTGGATACTGATCAAGTACTATTTCACAGCAATGCGGAAAGAAAGGGGAAGAAAGCCATATATAGTCAACCCAGTGGTCAATAAAAATGGGTACTTTCCACTTAATGGAAGTTTTCAGACTTTCATGCCAAGCCATCTAAGAGGGCTACATATTTCTGCCTAAGACAAAAGGCAGCTAGACCCCAGCTGTGGGAAGAAGTAGGGTGTTGGAGTCTGGAAGTTAAACCCAAGGCCTTGGGTTTAACTGCTCCAAGCATTAAGGCCTTCATTGTAAGTGTGGATAAATATCTGAATTTGAGGCTTCAACAAGTCTATGGAAACACCTATAAAACATAGCAATAGAAAGAAAAACTGGGCCACCCCTCGTGGCACAGGTGGTTGAGCACTGCACGATGAAGCTGTCCGCAGCCTCTGCAGTGCCTGTTCCATCCCAGCCGGCCGGCGAGGGTCCCACATGGTGCGGCAGACCTCTCCTGTCTCACCTGCTGCTCCCCTCGGCAGTGTATTTCGTCAGTCTGCCTGTTCTGTTCCCCGCTCTGTCTCTGGTGAATCCTCTCACCCTCCCGCGCATCTGACCTGTACCCCAGTTCTTGTATAAATAAATAAATAAATCGAAAGAAAGAAAGAAAGAAAGAAAGAAAGAAAGAAAGAAAGAAAGAAAGAAAGAAAGAAAGAAAGAAAGAAAGAAAGAAAGAAAGAAAGAAAGAAAGAAAGAAAGAAAGAAAGAAAGGCATTTTTAGTTCCTTTCACTGTCTAGAATGCTCATACAATGAGTGTATGAGAAATACACCAACCACGGCAAAACTAGTTTTCCTGTTGACAACTGAGAGGTTTCGGGTCCACACATCCCCATTAGGAAGAAAATGGCATATTAGGCAGCCATGGTCACTTACCTGGAGCACAGCTGTCCACAAGAGCTCCGAGGGCTTTGCCGTCTTGCCAGTTCTGGTTAAAGTTGGTGATAGGCAAGTAGGGGATCTTGTTCTGAATCCATCCCAGCAACCTCTGTTTTGGCGTCTGCTTCTTGGCATCATCATCCCCTTCATCCTCCCACACGGGCATTGAGATGGAGTAGTGGAGGATCAGGGTCCATACCAGACCCAAGATGAGCTTCAGGTTCCCATCTACAATGGCTTTGCTATCTGGGGAGAGAGGCACAGGCTTGTCATTCTTCTGGGTTGCACAAGTGTGAATCACACTCTACGAAAAAGACGAAGTCCTCATCTGTTAGAGAACCACACTAAGCTACCTGAGAGGAAAGGACACCATGCTGAGTTGGCTTCAAGATACATGCAGATGAGATTAGATGAAATAAG